AAACCCACCATCTGGACACGGAAGCCAATACTTGAGTCAAAATCTTTTCAGGGAATCAGATTGCAACTGAGCAGATATGCGCAGTTGTCCTCAGTCCTTAGCCTCCTTACATCTTTTGTTTGTCGCAAGGTGGAACTGTCTTAGAGAAAGCAAACTTATAAAGGATGTGTGTATTTCTTGGGAAAATGACACTAGACTTAAAGATAAATTACTCTTTCTGAGCTTTAGCTAATGAGGTCATGTGGCCTGCCCAAACATCATGGATAGGGATGGGGTTGTCCTCCGTAAATATTTTCATTCGATGCACACAAAACATGGTTGCAAATCTTTTAAGCATTCACCTGACACTCTTAATTACTAGCTACAAAGTATGCTGTCAATAAACCATCAATAACATGAAGAATCATATTATTATTAGTGGGCAATATTTTGGCAGGTACCTAAAGTTATAACATTAGTAAAACAGAAATGGCCCTTGGACTAAAATCAGGTTACATCAGCAGTCAATCCTAGATTCAGACACCCTTCTTTCTGGTATGCTAGTTTTGCAGTAAGTTTCAGATATGCAGTGTCCTCTTGTGTTAACACTGGTCTCAGGAATACTCACCATGAATTTAGCTCCTGAACTATGTTAGGTGAAAACTTCTATCATTCATCAACTTGTGAGTTCCCTACTAGCTTTTGAAGGATGTTGACAAAAATAGGCATGTTAGTACCAACGGGTTCCTGCCAACCATAAAATTCTTCCATATCCCATTCTGAGCATGTGATTCATAGTTACCAACCACTTATCATAGGAGCAAGAACTTACACACACATCAAGAGGGGGTAGTCAAGGGAATGTCATACAGTGAGGAAGAGCAATGTGTGTGTGTATATGTGTGTGTGTGTGTGTGTGTGTATGTGTGTACTGGGCCGTGGGCCAGAGGGGTAAGTGACCAATGAATACTGTTAACTTATGCCTTTTTATTTAGCAAAGAATTCAGAAAGGAGGTAACATTTCAGGGATGTTGGAGGCTGATGATGGGAAGCAAGAGCTGATCTGAGGACAAAGACTAACAACATATGCAGCTTTAGGGAAATCTTAAGAAAAGGCCTTGACGCAGGAGAGCTACCATGAAACAGAACTGCACAGAACTGATGAAGGGAAAAGATCGGATTGCAGCATAAGCCAAAGAAAGCATGGAGACATAACCCAGAATGAGAATTGTGAAGCTAATCCGCAGTGAATTACTAGGATGCCAGTGGGAGGGCCTGCAGTCGTAAATGTGGAATTCCACAGCAGCGGGCCCACAATCTGAATTTTGTGTTTACTGTCATCCTCCATCTCTGTGTTCTTACCTTTCAGTACATTAACTACAGCTTATGCAGCATGATGCGTAGGAATCCTTACTTAGTAGCCCTAAAAGATTAATTCATTCAATTAACAAAACTTTTTTTTTTTAAGATTTATTTATTTGACAGAGAGACAGCGAAAGAGGGAACACAAGCAGGGGGAGTGGGAGAGGGAGAAGCAGGCTTCCCGCCGAGCAGGGAGCCCGACGTGGGGCTCGATCCCAGGACCCTGGGATCATGACCTGAGCTGAAGGCAGACGCTTAACGACTGAGCCACCCAGGCGCCCCTTAACAAAACTTTTTGAGCATTTAATACAAATTAGGAACATTGTTTTCAGTACTTAGAAATAGCGAACAGATGAAAAAATTACAAGTTCATTTGTATAAAAGAGCAAATTTCCACAGACAAAAGTGGAGAACATACACACCATCACTTGAGAACTGAAGTGGCATATACACCCAAATATAATAATGTTTTAAAAACACTGATTAAAGATACCGAAGCTCAAAATGAAAAATAATTGGAGAATACTTCTGAATGATTAAAGAAAAAAAAAACAATTGTGGCAAAAATCTGCAAAAAATTGTGCAACAAAATGAATTTATGTGAGGTCACAAATTTGCCCTAAGTGTTATGGAAGGAATTCCTACCCTGGGAAAGAAGCGGTCGACACAGCTTCTAAGACTATTTTCAATAGGAAAGTCTAGGTGTGCCTGGGTGGTCAGTCAGTTAAGCGTCTGACTCTTGATCTCAGCTCAGGTCTTGATCTCAGGGCTGTGAGTTCAAGCCCCATGTTGGAGCCTACTTAAAAAGCAAACAAAAAAACAAAAACACAACAACAACATAAAATTCCTAAAGTCTAAAACAGAAAAGAAACACATGTATATTTATATGAAAACCGATTCACATATTCATGTAACAAAAGGCACTGCTGACTTGAAGAGGAGGTCTATGATAGCAAGAAAAAGCATGAACTTTGAAAACAATCAGATCTGGGTTTGCATCCTATTACCTATTACACATGAGCTTTGAGACCGTCGGAAAATTACTGAATACCCCAATCTGTTTTTCCATATGTAAAATGAGACAAACACTAGGAATGTAAAAATGAAAAGCCTGGATCTCATATCCATCCACTTCTTCCCACTTCAGACCACAAAACCAAGTTACCATTCCTCGGGCTGCCATAATGGCGGCCTACCTCATTCCCACACCGCCAGAAGGATCTCTTCAAAACATTATTTGAGAAGTAACGTATCCAGACAAAGCCAAGTCCTCACGGCTGTCAAAGCTCTGCTTTTCTAGGTCCCACTTACGACCCTTCCGAAACTGGTCCTCTGCTTGCTCAGTCATGTGACACCCCCGTCACAGTGGCCCGGCCACTGCTTCCCCGAATACCTCAGGGCCTCTACATTTACTGTTCATTCGCGCCTGAACACTTTCCCTTGGTAGAGTGAGCATCTTTCTATCCTCAGGAGATCAGTTTTTTAAACGGCAGCACCTCAGAAACATCTTTTATCTAAAACAGGCCTTCTGATTATTTCCTATATTCCCCACTGCTTATTCCTGTCGAATCACTTACAGCAATTCCTACTTTTTACCGTCTGTCTTTGAGCAATAGGAGGATTTTAAAGAACCGTGTACTCCTTGGACTTAGTGCCGTCGCCGGCATCGAACGGGTCATTAATACTGTTTTAACGTATGGCTCTCAACAACCTTCTTCTCTGTCTCCAAAGCAAAAAAACTAACACGAAACTTAGCTATCTTATTTCAAACACACTATTTTCAGGACTCCTAGTGTTTACTTATTTGTAATCAATGCATATTTTCTGAGAAGTGAAGTTTTCTCTACTAAAACACTTTCATTATACAATTGGCAGCACGGTACCAAAAAAAAAAAAGGAGAAGAAGAATACAAACAAATTCACCTAAAAAACTAATTCTATCCTTCATTAGCTATGGCCTTGTGGAAAAAAAAAAAAGAAAATCACCTCTTTGTCAGTCAAGTACTTCATACTCCTCACCATGGCTCAAGAGATGAGGAGAAGCCTTACGCTCTTCCTATGGGGGGGGGGGGCGGTGGGGGGGCGTGAGGAGAAGGGGAACAGCTGCTGCCTGAGCAGTAAGTCTCAAATGAAATAATGTACATGGAAGTGTTTCGTGAAAATTGTAAAACAGCATCTCCGAGGCCAATAGGCCCATGCTGATTTAGCTGCACTCGTAAAGGCTTTCCCTCCCAGCTAGAGCGTAGAGTACTATGCATTTTAGCATTATTTTAAATGTATGATTCTCCCTGTGACACCCAGACTGGGATGTTCTACCCTCTCTCCCTTTTTTTTCTTTCTCTTCCCCCAGACAAGTAAAATCTAAGATCATCAAGAGTCAAGCACATAAAAGTCCTAAAAACTGGGCTCTCCTAAATATATTATATGATGACAGAAATTTTAAAACACCACTGTACTTTCACAAAGGTAATCACATTTCGGAGAAACTAAAATTAATAACATCTTGGAACAAGTTCAAAATGCCAAATCCCCAACTGCTCTCAGGCTAGGCCTAGCAAGTCAGACAAGTACCTGACAGCAATTAGGAGGGACAATGACACCACTCTACCACAAATCACGACTCCTATCTGGCCCCTCATCCAAGGTGGTAGTTCATTGGCTTCTGTGTCTAGCCTTCTAGACCCATTTCTTGGCCTCAATGGACCAAGGAAAAAATTTAGGAAGTCCCAAGTAATAAACTGAATTGATAAATTGATAACACAGTTCCAAAATTTCCTTGACCAGGGCAATACATTACCTCTCTGCCTACACTCTGCTAGCTTTACACTTTCACAAGTTCAGGTACTGAGGTTCTTTTGGCATCTGTGAAGCACTTGGCTGGCTTCCAATTTCCCCTGCCTTTGCCAGAAAACTGCTAAACTTCCAAAAAGTGCTCCTTGAGTTGTCCAACATTCCCAGACTCCCATCTTATGGCTGGAGGAGTCCTTACTAATTTTAGCTACAAGGATGCCTTCTGTGAGCAATTAGCTATTCAGAGTCTCCGCCCCCATCCTGCTTAGACAGCCAACATCACTAACGCCAAGAAAACAAATACAGCTATCAACAGAGTCCAAGAAAGGCAGTCAAAACCAAGGCTGAAGCACCACTTTGCAACTTTAATAAACAGGTTGGAGACCCTGTGAAAGGAAATGCTCATCTTGCCCGTACAGAGTTGCAAGAGACAGCAGAAGACAACAGAGAGCGATACCCAGACAGGTAGGGCTGGAGCAAGGGAGGCTGAGGGGACGGAGAACAGGGACAGAGGGACAGACAGAGACATCTTAGGAAAGAGCAACTCTGAAGGTGAATTTCTCCCGCTGTGATTTTCAAGAGTATGAGGTGCTCCTAAGCTTTAAGAATGCATTTTAAAGCAAACAAAATGACATTTCAACAGTAAGTGTGGCTCAATCCTGATTCTTAAGCCCCCCCCTCCCCCTGCAGTCTCTGTTCAGATCTTCTTTTAAGAACCCTAAAGTCACCAACCTCACCCCTCCGGTCCCGACTTTTCACACATCTTCTCAGCCTTTCTCCCAGTACAGGGCAGCCGGGCGCTCAGTTACCGGACGCAAAGAGAGGAAGGAGCTGGCGAGCTTTGGGGTGTGTGAAGCGCGGCCCCTTACCTTCAGCAACACCACATCCACGGTCCTGTCCACCTTGGAGAAGTCACACAAGCTGTAGCGTCTCCTGTGCCGCTCATACATCTTTGCCCCAGCTGCGCCCCCCAAGTCCACGGTGCCTAATTTCTCACGCCGAGCTGGAGACACTGCGCTCCAGATTCCTCTCTCTATAAAAACCCTCAAAGGGTCCAAAATTGATTAAAAAGAAACCAAGTGGAATCCAATTCCTTGAACGGATCGAAGGCTTTCTGGCAACTTCAGAGCACTGTAATTCATACTATAAACAGTAAGTGCCTCCTGATCCTATACTTTAGGCAGATCTTGAGTGAAAGAGAAGCACACGGCGTTTCCATCACTGGCGACAACTCTAGTAGAAAAATTAAGAATGAACCGGCTAAGCATAATGGCTGACGCACGTGGGGGAAAAACCCAAGGCAGGCAATAAAAATCCAGTATGCACTTTGTCAGGAAAAGCGAAAGAGAGAAAAAGGTAAGACAACTCTATTTCAAAGGGATGGCATGAAAACATTCTCATTCTCTCATTAAATTCCGTTCTTGCTTACAAAAACAAAACAAAACAAAAAAACCGAGGAGGGTAAATTTCTCCTTTACAGAAAAAACAAAAACAAAAACCAGCAGAAGCTTGGAGATTCTGTTCAAAGTCGAGTCTTCGGAGTCAGGCTCCTGCTCACCAGGCAGAAGGGCTTGGTTCCAATTTCAGTTGAAAATCTCTAATGACAGCAGAGGAAAAGGCGAAAAGAAAGACCACTCCTCCTGCTCTACTCTCTCCTCCCTTCTTGGGCGCTGGCCCTTCCCTGCCCCAGCCCCCCTTTCCCCTCACCCTCAGGAACGTCACTACTTGCCCTTTGAGCTCTGCACCAGCAGCCTTGGAGGTTTGAAAACCTAATTGCAGTGGGAACATGATTCATCCACAGACGGAGAAGAGAAAAACAAGGCTTCCTTTTCCAACCCACTTCCTCCTCCTCCTCCTCACTGTCCCTATGAAAAAGGCTCTGTCGGGCATTGCAAGATGCAACTCGAATGCTTTGAAGTCGGAGCAGTACGATAATAAAGGGGGGAGGATGTCATCCTAAACATCATGAGCAAGTACAACATACTTATCTATTCCACGAAGTACAGAAAATTGAAACTACCCAAGGCGCACACTGCAGCTCCCTGCCAAAAGCAAACCAGTGATTTAATATGAGAAAAATGTCAGCCAAGTATTTAAGGCTATGTCTCTAGGATCCAGAAGTGGCTACAAAAGTGCCTGATATGGTTTAAAAATCATCAAGAGTTCATCTTTTTGTTTTTTGTTTTTGTGGGGCAGGGGGTGGGTGGGGAGAAAGTGAGTGAGTGAAGGGGCTTTACAGACAATTAAAGAGAAAAGGAGTGGAATGAATGGGTGCCTGTGTCGATACTTCTGAGTGAGGGGGGTCACCTAGGCGGGGACTGCTCCCCCCTTCCGGGCTTTCGCGCGCACTGGCTAAACCTTGCGGCCCTGTCACTTCGTTCTTGCCGAGACCCCCCCTCCCCCCCAGCTCCGCCCTGTGCCGCTGCCTCTGAGGGGCCTACTCCAGAATTCATCCTCTTCAGACACCCTCTCAACTTGGTTCTTAAGTGATGGGGGTGGGGGGGCCGAAGGAAGCAAAAAGGGGAAAAGAGTGGAGAGAGGGAAAGAATAAGATCTTGTCCTTCTAGGAGCATTAGGCTGCCACCATTTTCCTCAAGGGGCGAGGGTAGTCCTTAGCCAGACCTGAAGGGTGGGAATGAGGGGGTTCAGACACCACAGGGCAGAGGAAGAAAAGAGATTTAGTACTTCAATTTCTGTCAGTATTGCAGAGTTGGTGACAGGGTTTCTCAGGAGTTTTATAAAAGGGGTGTAGAAGGTCTGATGAGTCACCGTTTCCTCAGTCCAGGCGTTCACACTGCTAACCAGCCAAAGGAGGGAAATGCAGCGAACCCTATGAGAAAGCTGAGAAAGCAAGCGTTTTCCTCACCCATTAATTACTACACCGCGGCCCTAGCTGTGCCCAACGCAGAGCCCGGATCCCCACCCCGCCCTGTGTCATCCAAGGCCGGTGGGCCGCCTTCCCCTCCCCGCGTGCCCCCGGTGAGCCCTGGCTCTGTGATGTTACCAACGCGAACAGTGAAACAGATGTTGCTTTTCACCAGAGTGAGGATGGAAAACAGTAGAAACACGATTAGAGAGAGATTAAAGAGTTATAAATAAATAAAGTTCTTGCTCAGACTTCCCGAAAGGGTGGGAACCTGACCAGGACTTTACAAATACTTTGAGACTCTGTGGTCCAGAGCACAAATCGTAGACCCTTTAGGCTTTAGGGTATGGGAAAATGGCTGGTTTTATCAGCTTTTCTGTAGGAACTTTCATCAGGCTGTAATTTAGAAACCCCCTCCTCTCCATATGAACACAAGGCTGGCTCCCCTCTGTCCTCCGCATGGTTTATCCCTCCTGCCACTCCCTCTGTTTTAATTAAAAGCAAATGTTTCCTGCTTCGAAGGTTCCCAGGCATCTCTCAAGGGATTGGAGATGCTTTAGTCGCCATACAGCCTTCCTATTCCCGACCCTAAGTACTTACTGACTTAAATGCAGACAATCTATATCGCTTTAACAGATATTTTGTGCCTTGCAGTGAAGGCAAACAAATAACAAGGTCTCTGTCCTCAAGACATATAAAGAGAAACCGGTTTCAAAATAAAGTAGTTGTCTGAAATGTTTTGAGAACTACAGATTAACTTTTTTATTTCTGACATCTGCTGACTTTGTGCCAGAGGCTGGAAATCTAGGTTTCCTACTCCTTCTGCACACATAAACCTACTGCAAAGAATTAGAATCGTCCTTCCGTATTCTGTTCCTTCTTGTAGAATAAACGCTTTCGGTAGGGAACGAGTACTCGGGGCGGGGCGGGGCGGGGGAGCGTCTGTTTTGCTTTCCCCTCTGCATCTGTTCAGCACTTTCCACAGAAGACAGAATCCGCAGTCCTATGCTTGGGCTGCTGAGCTGACAATTCCAAGTTTTTATCAAAAACATCTGGAACCACTGAACAGTTATTCAGCTAGTAGTTTGAAACACAGCAACCAATCATTTTGTATCCAGACCAGAGCCGAGGGCTATGAATTTTTGTTTTGAGAAGATTCTCCGTTTTCTTTAATTTTGGGAGCTTGTAGTAAAATAGGTTTGTTATTGACAGCCTCTTACCGTAGCAGTTATTCACAAGATTAATCGTATCTCCCTTCGGTGGCCTCCATCCCACTCTCTATCCTCAAAAGGAGTCCCAGATTCTTCAACAGAAGCAACCAGTGCTTTTACTCTGTTCATACCACAGGCCCAATGTATGTTCTTAAAGATTCCAGAAAATGAAGTAGAAAAATGTTTTATGCACTTTAAGTCAACACAGCATTTCTGTTCACAAATTAAATTTTCCCTTGATTTATTTAATTACAACATCTAACACCTTATCCAAATTATTTAAGCAATTCTTATGGGTCAGCTCTATTCAGCTCCTTTTGCTTAATTAGGGCAGAACCCAGTCTCAAGGCCCCACAGTCAAATTTCTGAATTAGGACACCACCTAGTGGGGATGCTAAGCCTCAAACAGAACACCAAAAGCCAGTAAGCACTGCGGGGAGGTGCAGGGGGGTGGGGCCGGGGGGGGCGGTCTACTTCTAAATATTTTTCCTATAACCCCAAAGTGAACACAAAACAGCAGCATGAGACAGGGCACTGGCTAACCCCTCCCAATGATCAATTCAGTCTCTGCAGGAACACAAGATACCAGGGTGAAAATCAAGGGTTCTTTCTATTCCGGGGTGTGCCGCTGTTCTCACTGAGCAATGTGGGATGATGACTTGGACTCTCTGGACCTAGGTTTCCAGAACTGAAAAATGACAGGGGGTGGGCACGAGAGGAAGTTCCTTCTTGAAGGGACATGGTCAGCCTGAGACTAAGAAATCTTTTATCACCTGCCACATAGCTCATAGGATGTGGGCAGACACAGGAGAAAGAAAAAGGAATTGAGAAATTCTCTCAAAATCGGCTGTAGAAAACATGTGTATTCTTACGTCACTATGTTTTCCTCTGCCACTTTTCACATGAAATCAGAAGGAAGGAAAGGTCTACCACAGTTAATTTTCATTTATCTGTGATTAACTTAAAAATAGTGAGTCACCCGGAGTTACCCGTTTGTTGGTGGCAGAATTTACTAGAATATAGATAAAACATTTCACCTCCACTTGGGCAATTCTCGTCTGCTTGGAATAACAGACTCCTTCATGTATGACGGTCGATTGCGATGAGAAAGAAGGAAATTCTTTACAATGGCTGCAAAAGCATGGTTTCTATTTGGGATTTCCTTTCTAATTTCAACTGAGGTGTCTGATCCAGGAGAGGGAGGCCTACTGTCCTCGTCCCCCAGGCATTTCTCCGACTTTCAGATTTGGAGGTTCCAAGGTGAAAAAGGCAGCAAAGAAGGCAGCGAAGCCGGCAGCCCACCAGCAGTTCTTTTTCATCTGGCCTGAGTGGTAGCAAAGCTGCTCGTCTGCTTTAACCCCTTACTGCCTTTGCAAGAAGAAACCTGAAGACCATTTAGCTGGTAGCAGCAAGTTATTTGACCACAACTAACAATGGCAAAAGAAATTAAGATGGAAGAATACAAGAAAAGTAACAAAAAGCCTTAAAAATGTCTCTGCACAAACTTTTGCTCCTCCCGGGAAACAGGTTTCAACAGGAACAAGTCCACAAATGCTGAATTTTACTAAAACTGCCAACAGCTTGGTAAAATAAAAGGAGTGGGGAGAAAAGAGAGATGGCAGAATCGTAATTTCGGGTAGAAAGGTAGTGACAGGATAGCCTCTTCTGGGGCAAGACTGATTAACAACAATGTGTACTGAGCACTTGTTGTTTGCCAGGTGCTTCCACATGCACAACCTCATTGATTCCTCCTCAAAAGCTAGAATGTTAGCACCCACTTTGCAGCTGAGCAAGAAGTGCACTCAGAGCACCTCTTGGGTAAGGTCATACAGCTAACAACGTGAGCCTCTCTCACACTCAATTCTGTAAATCT